GCCATGACAAAATTCAGGATATTTGAAATATCTGCTCCCTTGAAGTCCGGATTAACAAGTTCCTACTTAGCAAGGGATGTTTTTCAGAATAATACATTTTAAGGACCTAGCGGAGAGTACATTGCATGCCAGTTGACAGCAACTGGTTTCTCTCTTAGATTTTTGCATGTGCCTGTTCTGCTCAGCTCTTTGCCTGTGAAGGCCTTGAAGGCCTTCCCTGCATGTCTGATTTGTGCAGGACAGTTCTCCTCACGGGCCAGCCTTCCTTTGCTTACCTTTTCCTGTGTCGTGGGTACTGAGGAGGGGGAAGGGTGCCCTGACCTGCCCATCTGTTTTTCGTCACAGGTGTCTGTGTTTGATGAGAGCAACCTGCTCGGCGGGGCTCGGCGGAGCAGTGCCTGCAGTTTCTATGCTGTAAGGCATTTTCTCTGGTTCCCGCATTTCCTCCCGTGTGCTGCATGCCCCTGAGTGGCTTGCTGGGCACAGGTCCAGCCACTGGAGAGAACTAACCGGGGTTCTAGGGAGGAAACACTGTCTCATCTCAACTTTCTGTTGTAGTGAGGGTCACGGATGCCTTTGGCTGGTGGGCTGATGTCTTCACACATCAATTTACATTGAGTTCAAGGGAGAAGACGGACCTTAGCTGAGATTCCTGGGCCCTTTTCCTGCAACACGCTAACAGTACTAACACGGGGTGAGGTGCGCTTAAAGTAACAATAGGAAGGAGAGGGGCATTCCACGGGCCACAGTCATTGTCACCTCTGGATAATCGAGGAACAGGAACAAATTTAAAGACTCAGGATCTTACCCGGACATAATTCCCTTTTATTTTGCCGTCTTTCCACCTCCTCTAAGGATTTGAAATGACAGACTCAGCTCTCACGATAAAGGTGTGGTACAAGAGATGCTTGTTGAGTGAAAAAAATGAGTGAATGAAAGAGGGAAGCAAAATGGAAAAATGGAGTCAGTCCATGGAAATGAGGAGGCTGGTTGGCCCCGTCCTGAGGGGCAGGTGAAACTGAACGTCCATCTGGTGTGGATGCTTCTGCACGCAGGGGCTGCTCTCCGAGGGGGCTCCTCCTCCGCAGGGGCAGCTCTCCGCGGGGGCTCCTCCTCCGCAGGGGCAGCTCTCCGCAGGTCCTGTGCAAGTCCCGTGCAGGCGCACCACCTGGGGCTCACAGGGGTTACAAAGAACTACCCGAAAGTGCTTTTTATAATGTTGCTTTTGATGTTGACTACTAAATTGGTTAAATAATCCCATTTCTGGCTTATTGTAGTTCATAAATATTCAGGAATTCTTACAAAGCTGCCACACCTACTGTTTTCTTTAGAATGTAAATTTTATAAATATTGTACATAGCATTAGTTTCTGTTGACGTCTAATTAAACATTTATTAATTTTATATTGCATACCTTTTGAAACGTGGCGGAACCCACTATATTATATCTTTTTCTCGGTTCTTAAACATTTGTGTAGGCCGTTAAGAAGCTCACAAATCATGCCTACTGGAGAAATAGCTCTGGCCTGCGTGTGGCAGATAAAATGCAACTAAAGGGATTTTCTCTTATCAGAAAAAAGACCGCATAGTAATTTTTCAAGAGAATGAAACTTTCCCCAAGCACTGGGTACTTTCCGAAGACTGAAGTAGAGCTTCCGAGCAGGTGGGGTGTCTGTTCTCCTTCAGTTCCACTTTGCCTCTGCAGGTGGACTTTCAGAGCAGCCGAGCCCCCGATTCTTATCGAGCATTGCTGAGCGCTCTTACTTCTGTGCTTTCTGCCTCCTGTAGGAACCACCTAGGAGTGGTGGCGTTCGGGAACTTAAGGAAGTCAAACGTCTTCTTGTCCCAGCAGCACAAATGTCTAAAATATGGCCACATGTCCCTGGCATCAAGCCATGCAGAAGAAGTCAAAGAGTAAAAAGTTTTGTCCTGCACTTAACACTGCGCTCCCATGCAGAAAGAGCTCAGGAGGCATTTGTTGAATTAAGTTGGACAAATGGAACCCTGGGGTAAAATCCCTCAGAAGAGATCTTTGGCAGCAAATTAGCAGGCTGGATGGGAGGGGCGTTCACTGAGCTCCATCCTCGGTGTCTCCCCAAGCCCCGACATTGCCCTCCCAGTGGATGCCAGTGTCCCACGTTTGGGAATGTGGCTGGGGAGACAGCTTCCTCAGGCTCTGGTCCAGCCTGCAGCTGTGACCACTGGCTGATACGCATACCCGTAGTGAGGAGGCTGACCGCCCCCCCTCGGGGGTCCTGTCCTGATGTCCTTCAGCCCAAGACAGAGCTGAAGAGAAGGACCCTCTGCTTCGACCTGAGTCCAGGCTGACCCCACGCCTGCACGGGATGGTCCTGATCCCGGTTTGGAAGGTTCATCCCCATCTCCAGAGCGTCTAGCTTCTGTTAGCCTCCCCTGGAAGGTAGCGTCATCTACAGTATATGTTCACAATTAAATGACTTCATTACAGTTTAACGATTAGAGAGTAAATGACTAGCTCTCTTTTAAGTATCGCTGTTTTGCTTGAAAACCTATTTTATATCTTCCTCACCGTCCTTAAGCTGTGTGCATGGTGGCTGTGTGTGACACGCCGGGGAGCCGTCACCACCGGTGCCATCGGATCCAGTTGCTTGTGGCAGAAAAGGAAAGCAGGGGAGAGCCCCCCCCCCCGGGTTCTCTGCATAACCCCCAGCACCTCTGTGTGGCCAGCGTCCTGACAATTCTGTGTCCCAGGTGACAGGCTGAGAAACTTTTCCAAGGTCCCATGGCCCGTAAGAGATGGAGCCCGGACAGAGTCTTTATAATTTACGGCAGCCCCACACCAGCCATGCTGGCTTCCAAACACAAGCTGTTCCAAAGTTGACACATGGACCAGGGTGATACAGACCCGAAACTTACTCCTTCCCGCATAATCCGGTCAGTTGATTTGAGAGCAGTTTTGACTAGGGGAAGTAGGAACCCCTGGGCTGTGGTGAGCACTGTGAGTTGTGTGAGACTTGAATCACAGACTTGTACCTCTGAAACAAATAATACGTTACATGTTTAAAAAAAAAAAGAAAGTAGGAAGGGAAAAATGAAGAGGGGGAAGTCGGAGGGGGAGATGAACCATGAGAGACTATGGACTCTGAGAAACAAACTGAGGGTTCTAGAGGGGAGGGGGTGGGGGGATGGGTTAGCCTGGTGATGGGTATTAAAGAGGGCACATTGAATGGAGCACTGGGTGTTATACATAAACAGTGAATCATGGAACACTACATCAAAAACTAATGATGTAATGTATGGTGATTAACTTAACATAATAAAATAAAATTTAAAAAAATCAAAAAAAAAAAAAAAAAAAAAGGAACACCTGGGCCAGCAGTCAGCCCTGTTAACAGCAACCTGTCCTGTCTCTGCACGGTTAACCAGAACGCGAATGACAGAGAACACAGTAGGATTTTTCCAGAGGACAGTTTTCCTAGCTCTTGTGTCAGTGAACCCAAAGGCAAAATTCTTTTCTTAAAGTACTAACCTTAGGTATTTCCTTTTCTGTTGCATAATAAAGCAAAAGCTGAGAGTAGTAAAAGTGGTAAATTTCTTGTGTGTGCCAAGTGTGGCAATGACTGTCTTATACGGCGTGTGCACAGGTGTCTTTATCTGTGCATGGGAAACAATGTGTGTAAGTGTAACTATGCAGTAAATCATAATCGGATAAAGGAATGAGAAGAATGATGAATAGGTAGGGTGGGTCTGGCTATTTATAGTCTGAAATTGAAATTGTTCATTCAACAAGTATTTCTTGAGGTTACACTGTGTGTCAGGCCTCATCTGGTCCCTGTGGATTCAGCAAAGAATAGACACAGACCTGCCCTCAGGCGATTACGTTCTGGTGGAAAAATGTGCAAACTAAAAGGTGATGTTTAAGATGGGAGTCACGAGCACCCCTGCAGTTCGGTGCCTGCTAGAATTTGCAGTAGGGAGAATGCCTGCAGGGCCCAGTGGGGTGGTGCGGGCAGCAGAGAGAACAGTCAGCCCCTGCCTAGCAGGATGCATGGTGTTCAGCAGGGGCGGGGGGGCACTGGATGGAGGGGCCGCTATTACTCTGGGACAATCCCCCTGAGGCCACGCCACAATCCACTGGGTGCCTGTGGCCCTCAGTCGGGTTTGAATCCTGCCTCCCCTCCTCACCCACCTCACTCAAGAGGAAAGGAAGATTAAAACAAAAACACACAAAAATCTATGTAGGACCGGAACAAAGGTAAATAGAAGTCAAAGTTAAGAGGGCATCGCTTCCAGGTCAGTGAGTTACGGTGTTTTCTTTTGCTAGAAGAAAGAACGTTCAGGCAGGTGGAGAGACAGATAAAAACAAAACAAAACAAAAAAACCAAAAACCTTCATTCAGGCAACCCGACCAGTACCTGGCACTTTAAACAAGCCATGCCTGACTTTGGAGGAGCCCTAGATCTTACGTTGTTTTCCCCTGGAACAACGAAGCAAACCTTCCCACCGCTGAAAAGCCAAGCACCCTACCGGGCGCTCCGGGCCTCGGAAACTGTCATTTCCCCGTGGACAAGGCGGCTTTCTGTGCCAGCACCAGGCATGACTCCACGCCCAGCTTGAACGGGATGCCTTGTGTTACTTTCTTCTCACTAACCAAGAATCCTGTGTTCTTCTGATATTATGACTAATTTTTTTCTGTTCTTAGTGGGCATGTATTTGCAGCTGTGACCGACACAGCCTTCCTTTCCAAGGGGAGCCAGCTCTCCGCACTCACCCTTGTCCTTTCTGCATGGTGCGCGGCTGACCTCTGCGCTCACTGTAGCTCTGCTGACCCTGTCCCTTTGTTTCTGTCTGCGTCCCCGTGGCGGCGGCTGTGTGGGCAGCCCTCAGAGCACGGCGGCCACCTCAACTCCAGCTCCCGAACCTCGTCCAGAGCCAGCTCGGCGCGGGCCAGCCCAGTGGTGAGTGCGCCTCCTGCCCCGCTACCTTCCGCTTTGTTCCTTCCCCCTCCTGCCCCTTATGCTTTTCACTCCGCTGTCCTGCAAAAGGAACCCTCCGCCTCCGAAGGGCTCAAACGCAGCGTAAAGTAGGAGGGCTTTTCTGTGATTTACTCCAGGTCTGAGCAGAAACGCAACTGGGAAAAATGCTTCCAAATTTAGAATACTACTATTCCGTGATAGCAGAATTGCATTGCTAAATGTCTAAAGGATCGTGTAAGAAGTTAGTACGTGGGACTGACTGGGAGGAGGGACACTTTGTACAGTGGGAGGAATGTAGCCGGGTACATGATGTGTGGGGGTTTTTATGACTTAAAAGTTGGAAGGATTGGCTTTTAACTTTGTTTGTAATGTCTTCTGTTACTGGACCCGGACGGTTTTTCAAAATCAGAAATCACCGGGAAGGGCCACGCTGCCATTGTCCCATTGGCTCTCCCACTACTCGGGATCGGGGAGAGTACAGAGCTGCCTTCCTGTTTCTTACCAGCTAGTTCCCGCCCTTTCCGTGTCCTTGGTCCGTGTTTGTCCCAGGGTCTTTGCAATTTCAGACGGTTTCTCTTCATCTGATGCTTTGTGCGAGGGTGCCATATGTTCTTTTAATGACAAGGGTGTGCAGGGCAGTTGCCGGGGCTGTGTGGTGCGCATGCCCACCCCGCGCAGCTAAGGATCGCCACGTCAAAGGCCAGTGGTGCCCTCCTTGATGAACCCCAACTATGAGAAAGCCAAGCCGGCAAAATGGATCTCTTGCTGTAGTCCCCAGTTACAGAGAAGCTCGAATGTGGTTCTCAACTTAGTGATACAGCACCAGGGTTAGATGTGCGGACGCCTGGAATTTAGGGAGTGTTCCTCGGCATCAGAGAAGAGGCCATCAAGCTGAGGTTTACTGCTGGTACAGATGCACCTGTTGGTTGCTGGTGATTTGCTCGTTTTTTAAATTAGATAGTCTTTTTCGAGCCTTGATGTTTCATGCAAACGCAGATACCGGATCCGCTTCTGCAGATCCCTGGCAGCTGAGCCCGTATCTCTGAGTGGGGCGGCCACACCGCCCCGTGCTCTGTTGTCCCTGACTCCAAGGCCAAGGCCAGAGCCATCATCCCTGGGCCTGCACTGGCGTTTTCCTGATGGGGAGGAGTGTTCCTCGCCACCATTTACACATGGAGGATGAGGAAACAAAAGATAGACCAAGGGGCCCAGTATTAAAACAGGAGAGCCTAGTTCTTTGTGGAAATGAAGACTGCCTGCCCTGTAAACACCAGCACCGGTCCCTGCCTCCTCCATGTTTCACGCACCCACCACCCACCTTCACGGCCATGAGAGCCCCTGGAGCCTAGCCCTGAGGAGACTAGGGGAGCCATGGCCTGACCTCTCAGGCTGTGCAGGAAGGTGTGGTGGCAGGCGCCCCACGGGGCCCAGAGGCTCATTGCTCCACTGATGACCAGTCCAGCAAGAATAGGAAGGTACTCATTGTTCAATATCACATAACGTCAGTTTTTAAATCGGACAAGTTGCTTTTTGTGGTGTCCTTCATACTCTGTGGTAGCACGGCATGTTACACTCATCCATGGGGAGCCTTGGAGCTACTGGGAAGAAAACTTCTCCGTGGTAAATTTAACGGAGATCAGTCTTCTTTAGGCATGATACTCACTCACATTCAGCCACGTTTTGGGAAGTAATAGAAGTATCTGCAGTTGACAGAAGGCGGCCCTGGCCCGCCCTGCGAAGGATCACGAGCCCGCCTGGGTCCAGCTCCTTGGTGCGGCTCCCGGGAAGCACGGAGCTATGAATGCCACGATTATTTCACTGCTTTGGGTTTCTTCAGACGTCAGGACGAGGTCACAGCATAAGAGGACTTCATCTAGTCGCTTAGACTGAAGTGGCCAAGATCAGACACAAATTTCGGTGTCCTGTGCTTTCTACATTTGTGGAAAATGTACCCACATAAAGCGGGTTCTTTCTCATTTAGTTCTCTGTGTTTACAGCCCAGGAAACCCAATGGAGCTCTGAAGGGAAGGTGGGCAGAAGAGCTCTGAGTGACGCCATCAGGCGTGTGGCCAAGCTGATCTTTCAGTTCACTACAAACACATAAGCCATCTTTATCTCTTCTCTGAGACAACTGCTCATTTACGAAGGTCAGCCGACTGCCCTACCGTTGGCACATTTCACAAGCGAAGGTCAGCGTCTCGCGGGCCGTGTGGGACGGGCCATCCTCCCGCCCCATCTGGGCATCGACGGCTCCCGCCACTGCTCCCGTGGCTCCTGGGGAGTGATCCGTGGCCTGCTGATTCACCAGGAATGTGGATCCGGGGGAGTGTGAGCGTGGACAGGGGACAGGAGCCTCCCAGGGAAGGCAGTAGGACTCGGGCAAGGGCCAGCCCCGGAAGGCTGGGTGTGGAGGGAAAGCCCTGTGCCCCGCCCCGGGGGGGGGGCACTCTTAAAGAGCAAACGTAACCAGAATGGAGGAAGTGGTTGCTCCTCCCACTTGAAGACAATAAAGGTGCCTCGGCATCCAAAGACCTCCCCCAGCCCTCGGTCCTCTCAGCAGATGCCTGCCTCACCTCAGGACCTCAGGCACATTGTTCCCATTCTGCAGATAAGCTGGAAGTTCTTCTCCAACAAGTCTGGGCTCTTCCCCTTGAGGAAGCTCTGGGGTTCTTTCCTTCAGTCAGTGTTTACTGAGAACCTAGAATGTTCTAGGCGTGGGGCTGCAGTGGTGAGCAAGATACGGGGATGCATAGGCCGGAGGAGACAGGCAGGCAACAAACGGGCATGCATATGATACAGCCTCCCGGGGAGAGATGCAGGAAGCTCTGAGAGTTGGAATCGGGAGGTTTGGTGGTCACGCAGAGGGCCTCCCCTGGTGACACCCACACCCCTGTGTCATCCGGGCCCCAGAATCCTGCCAGGCATCCAGCAGAGGCTGCCGTGTTCCTGACACATCCATCAGAGGTGTCCTGAGTGGAGCCCAGATTCATGTTCCTGTGTGTATTTAGAGAAAACATGAGTGACAAACTGGAACCTCCAGCCCGTTTAGCTAGAAAAACAAAAGACCGTAGTGACCCATGTTATCTGTTGTATGAAGAGGCAGGGGCAGCAGGTGGAAACAGAGGTCATGGTATGAATCCAGGAGTCCAAGGGTAAGTCATTCAGGAGAACGTCAATATTATTGGATGAAAACCCGAAATTTCCACGCCAGTGGAAGACTTGACTACTATTTATATCTGAAGGAAGATTGCCCTTAAAATGGGTGTTTTCTGAGCAATGTTCGCTATTGTCAGTTTGTTTGTTGAGAGGGACTGTGTGCGGACACAGCTCCTCTGGTCCCATTTTGCATCTGGGGCCTGGGGTTGCCCAGCAGGAGGCTGGGGACACCGTGAGGAATAGATCCTTTGTGCCTGGCCCCCCTGCTAGGGTCCAGCCATGCTCACGTGTCGTGTTGTCTCTGGGCAGGTGGGCAGGCCGGCTGATGATAGGGAAGCCTGGGAACTGTAGGCCTCAGCAGACTTGATGTTGAAGTGAGGCTGAGTAGCATGCTCGTATAGACACAATGTCGGAAGGTTGGAATTAATAAAATACTTAATGCGCTACTTGGATCACCTGTTTTTGAAAGGAAGAGTTGCCATAAATCTAAAGTTCAACAGAAATTGTTTAGAAGTGACTATTTCTGGTTGATTTTAAAAGCTGTCTTTGTGGACACTCGGTTGTGATTGTAAAATGCTGGTACACACACATGTCATAAATCTGTTACTGTGAAGTTTTCACGCCGACCTCAAAGGTTCAGAATTGCTGGTTCGGGGGAGTGACAAAGCGAAGGCCTGCAGGGTGTGGGGCCCCGTTGCCCTGGCGTGGACCAGGACGCCGGTGTCTGCAGAGGCCCTGTGGCTCGGCCCAGGCCCCGCGCAGGTATGGGCCTCAGTGGCTTGCAGCAGGTGCACCTGATGGCGTCCCCTGGGTCCTGCTCTGCCCCGTGTCTGCACCATGGCGTCCCCCACACCATGTCATGCAGCGGCTAGGACAGTGTTCAGAATGTTCTTTGATTCTGTTTCTTTCTATTACTATTTTCAGAGGTAAAGTGGCGTGCTTTAGGTCAAAATTAAACGCACCACCTTGGTTCCTTATCTGTCCCTTTGCTTGAGGGAAGGTGAGGAGTGGGGACAGCGCCCGGCCAGCCCGCCCAGCTCTATACAGGCTGCCATCTAGCGGCAGCTAAGGGGACTGCGGCAGCTCCTTGCTGCAGGGTCGCTTTCTGCGGGGCTCCCTGTCCTTCCGAATTCAGAAAGGCCTGTGAGCACACGTATCCTTTGTCGTTCAGAAACAGACTAAGGGCACTTACCCTAATGTGTACACAAGAGATTGGAACAGCGGTTAAGCAGAGATTGGCTATAACTCTTGAGAGTTTCATTTTTTTCCCTGCATGGTCTCTACTTAAAACACAGCCTAAATTTTCCCATTCTGAGTCCATTATGTATTTCTGAGCAAAGGCTTTTTTAAAACTATTTTAAAACTATTTTTAAACCTTTTTTTTGAAAAGCAAAGAGCTAGCTGTGGTTTTAGGTTTTTTTCTTCCTTATTTGATGTTTTGCAAATTACAAAAGTAATATTTACGTTGATGGTATCGAGGGAAAAAAGGCAGAACACAGCAGTGTTAAAGGACTGCCCCCCCCACCCCCCAAAACAGTGTTTTTGGTCTGGTCTGTATTCTTCCTCATCTTTATCACAAGAAATACTGAAAAAACGTGGGGTCCTTCTTTTACGGGCACAGATATCTCTGTAGGTGGATTTCTGGACTTTCATTTGTATACAGAATATTTACCTGCTGCTGACCAGCACTTGGAAAGATTCTGTGTAACCCACAGAGGCAAGGAGCAGCCAGCTTCTCGGCGGTAACTGAGAGTCAGTGACACTGGCTCTTCGTATTCGACTAGTAGTTACATTACCTTCCTTGTTTTCGTCTCATGAATACGTGCCCTGCAAACTAACCGATTCTAGGGAGTGAGGGCCTCGGGCCCGGGAGACTTAATACATTGATTCCCCTGCAGACCAGTTGATATATAGTCAGCTTTTCCTCAGTGATTTGAAGTTTTCAGGAATATTTTCATTCCCGAGTGGAGAGAAGAACCACACTTGAAGTGCTGGAATCATCACAGTAAGAACATTGGCCCAGGGCTCTGGGACTCTGCCAGGGACGAGGAGATAGAACCATCTTGACTGAAGGCCACCTCAGCCCCCCCAGAGCATCTGCTCAGGCTGGTGTGGCATGCACGTCTAGAAAGAATAGTAATTCTAGGTGTGTGTTTTTACACATACCAAACACACATGCCAACAAATGGCAGGAGGCATGGCACACGGTTGGAGAGTGAGCTCTCCGTGATGGGCTGTCACTGGTCCACATCAAGCAGTAGAAAAGGGCATGTGCAGGCTGAGATTGCCTGGGAAACTCGCGGGAGACGCACGGGCTGGCATGGGCTCTCGGAGGATAGCCAGCCGTGGCCAAGCGGAAAGGGAGAGTCCTCTGGGCGGGGCAGGACTAGCATCCAAAGGCCCACCCCACCCCCACCCCCCCGCCCAGGGCTCATTTAACAAACTGGGAGTGAGGCCAGTCTATTCTTGGATCCATCCCACCAGCCTGAGGGATGGGCCTCTTCACTCTAGTTTCTTCTCCTACTCTTAGGACAGTAAGGAGACCAGTAAGATGAAAATAGGGGGTTCTTGCTGAAGACCCAAGTGTGGGCCTTGTCGGGGAGACCAGATGGGGTGGCTTTGGGAATGAGACCCCGGGGCTGAACTTGGATCTGTTGAGTAGGAGACCCTTGAGCTTGGCTGAGCCAGGAGCTGGTTTTGAAAATTACCTTCTTTTGGATTAATCGAGTATTCTGTGGGAATTCCATTTGAGCTGCTTGGTTGGCTGATCCGCTCTTACACTTTGCGGTCTCGTTTTACTATTTGCTTTAGGTGTCCTGCCCTCGAAGAGAAAAGCGAAGGTGTGATGGGTTTGGAGGAGAGAAGGTAGCTGTTAGTGGGGGACAGGATGGTGAGGCCTTGCGCATCCAGCCCACTGCGGGCCCAGGGTGGGCACAAAACAGGGAGTATTGGTCTTCACAGAACTCTGCGGTGTCCCGACCAGGGCTTAGCCCCACATCTTCATGCTCTCCCGAGTCCAGCTTCATGATGGGCTGTTTCTCGTGTCCGTGAGCCACTCTGCCATGTCCTCCCAGCCAGCTCTGTCGGGATTCCTCGACCTGAGTTCAGACTGTCTGTGGTTGAAGGTGCGATGTACCTGCAGAGCCCCTGGCTACCCACCGGGTCTGCTGAGGCAGAGCTGTGGTCTGCAGTCGGCTCCATGGAGGTCAAAGTTAAGAACATCTGGGCTACAGGAAGGAGGATCAGAGACATGCTAGTCGTCAGCTTCCCCCGGAGGATTCGGAGACAAGTGGGCGTGGGGTTTACTCTCCCTCTGTGACCTTCGCAATGGGTTTATGGAAAGGAGCCCTCAATGTGCAGAAAAAAGAAAGTTGGCCTTTGTGGGATGCTCAGCAAAGAAAGACGTGGCACCATTGCCAGCCTCAGCCTGTTGGCGTCCAGACCCCTTCGAGGTGCAGGGTCTCCCTTGGGGGCAAAGCTACGGCCCACAGGCTGCTCTGGGTCCCCCGAGAGTCCTGCCTGAAGAAGGGACAGAGCAGCCTCAGAGACACGTGAAAAGCCAGATTCTGGGGTCTCACTTTTCACCTGGCAGATTCTCCTGTGCCTTCACCCCCTGCTGGCTCCCCACTTCTGGGCATCAATTCCAAGATGGTTAAACCAGAATCTTCACTTCGGCTCCATTATTCAGAAGTAGGAAGAGTTGCAGTGGGCTCCGCTGCTTCCTCTTGCCTTAGAGACCCAGGCAGCAAGAGGCCTGGTCCTGCTCTCCGGCTGTAACCATAGTAACAGCGGGGGGAACAGGCTTGGAGCTTGTCATCGTCCCCCCCCCCCCATCAGGACCAGCACGCAGGGCTGTGGGAAGCTGTGAAGGAAACCTGTGCCAATTTGGTTCATTCACAAATCCCTGATTAGGCTCTTCCTGCGGTCGGTGTGTATGTCGTTCAGACGTCGTGTTCCCGTGGAAATTACGAACGTTGAAAAACCACCCCGTGAAGTTCACAGTGGCACCGTGAGCTGCCTGCAAGCCACCACCGTGCCCGGCACGGCCTGGCAGAAGCAGATCCGCGGGTCTCGTTGGCAAAGCAGTTTTTAAATTACAAAGGAAGCTAATGTGTTACCATCTTATCCTCTAAACCCATATTATCCATTTAATGCTCTTAACTATTTCGTATTTGTCCATTTTCCTCCACAGGTTGAAGAGAGACCAGAAAAAGATTTCACCGAGAAGGTAAGGAATCTCTGGAAGCCTTTATGTTGTGTTGTTGATAAACCACGTGAGGCCCAACGTGTATGGACGAAACTGACAAGAGAATACGTTGGTTAATCTTGAATGAAGATGCCCACCCGGGAGTGAACAGGGTGTGCATGTGGCACCACATCCTCCAGGGAGTCCCCCAGAGCCACTTCCAGCCTGGGTGTTAAAGCCCGCAAAGAGCAGAGGCATCCACCGTGGACCCAGGCATGAGCTTCGGGTTGACCCAGACTAATTCCCAGGTCTCCATGAGGCCCCTCAAAGTGAACCTCTCTTTATTGCTTTCCATAAGCCCTGGAGATTTGACAACATACAGTAGACTTGCAGGGGGCTCTGGTTTTGTCTGAAATCACATTTGGTCCTTGTGGCTTTGCAGGGCTCACGTAGCCTGCCCGGCCTGTCTGCAGCCGCCCTGGCCTCGCTGGGCGGGACCTCTCGGAGGGGAAGTGGGGACACCTCCATCTCTGTTGACACGGAGGCATCCATTAGGGAAATCAAGGTAAGGCTGCCTACCTACTTGTGTCCTAGAGGAGCCTCTTAGGAACATCAGTCTTCGAGTGTAAGTTTGTAAAGTTCTGGATCTTTCTTCTGGGTCCAGTCTCCCCCCACGTTCACATGTTCTAGTCACACTAAGACCAGCTCAGATAGGGTCTCCCGCAAGAAGCTGCTGCACCTGCCCGCCCCACCCCGGCTGGGCAGACCCATGCCCTCTGCCCTCCCTGGGCTCTCGGGCACACCCTGCGGTGCTCGGCTCCTTCCGTATACCTGGCGTGCACAGACAGGTGGTCTCCATTTTTCTGGAATAGTCTCCATTTTTCTGGACCCCAGATTACTCACTGCTCCCGACAACACTCCCCTGCCCTTTGAGTGTCCCCGCTCCCCTGCCTAGAATATGCCCCTCCTTTCTATCTGTAGTATGCACACTATGCCTCGAATAGATCATCGTTGTGTTTTAGTGATTTTTTTTCTCCTCCCACTGGAATGTAAGCATCATTCTGTGCTCCATCCTCACCACTCGATGGGGGCCACTCTGAGCATGTAAGAGACAAAGGCAGGACTGTCCGGAAAAGTAATTAGGAACCTCAAGGGACTGGCTGTCCTCTGGAGAGGAGAGCCAAGGCCCGAGGGGGAAACGTCAAGGATGGGATTTGGCTTCGTTGAGGGAAGAATTTTCTATTAATTAAAACTGGTGAAAAGGGAACCCCGCTGCAGGTGGTATCTGAAGCTGGATGACCGCCTGCCAGGGAGGTCAGAGAAGGGATGTAGCATCAGCCAGGGCCGGGTCTGGGCTCCCTAAAAGTGCCTTCAGAGTCCTGTGCTTTGTAAGGACAGTTTTTGTGGGCTGCTCTTCCTAAAACGTCCGCGCGCCCTCCCTGGGCCTCCAGCGGCTCTTTGCCCATTCCTTTGCTGCGTCCAAGTGCAGTTTGCTGCAGTCCTGAGTCGTGAGTCGTCTCTGCTCGTCGTCTTGAGAGCACCATTCATTCGCTCGGTGAGCTTGTGTTGAGAGTCTAGCTCAGACCAGACGCCGGGCCCCAGGAGTGCGGAGCAGAGACGCGAAGCTCTGTAAATGCAGGGACGGAGCTCGGCTGAGTCCCACCTTTAGTATTTTCCTCTATCTAGCACCAGGTAGCAACCCAGAGAGCCTGAGTTTTAACTATCAAATATGAGTAAAAGAACCTGTTCCACTTTTGGAATCTCCTTTGTCTGTTTTATAAAATTGTGCAAAAATATAATGATATAGACCTGCATTTTGTAAAAGTTTGTGACAGTATCATATGAGATAGACTTCAGTTTCAAGCTTTGTGATTTTGAAATGCATTTTATTTTCCTTCAACACTTAAAAAAAGAAGAAAAGAAAATCGCTGCCCAGACTCCCCAAATGAGGGAGACGACCCAGAAGTAGAAAAGATTTAGAGGACGGCTTCTCTTTCTTTGTGGTCATGCTCACTTTTCTCCCCCTGATGTCATTTGCCTCTTTTGCCAATTCCTAGGAACTGAATGAGTTAAAGGACCAGATTCAGGACGTAGAAGGCAAATACATGCGGGGGTTGAAAGAGATGAAGGTATACCAGTTTCTGGAAGTGTGGGCTGATGGTATTAACCCAGTTTAACTTCAGAAAACCTAAAGAAGACACACAGACTGCATGCTCGCTCTCAAGAGCCTCCGGACTACAGAATTTGAGGTGGCAGGAACACGGGCGTGGCCTTGGGCCCTGAGTGGCCTCCCTGATGAGCTTTTGAACCGAGACCTGGGCCCTGTAACCCTCGGTAGAAACAGTTACTAACACACTTCCTGATGCATGTTTCTGACTCACCCTCCTCGCTCGGCCCACACCCAGGTTTCTTCTCACTTCCCACAGAAGTGCACCGTATGCTTGCAGAAGGGTGTGAGGGTTTTTCTTCACTGTCTGCAGTCGCTCCACACAAATAATGCTTCACTTAATTTGCTTCTCAAAGCATCGGATGTGTACCAGGAAGGCTGTCCCTATCGCCATGTTTCTGAAACACCCAGAGTACTTGCTTGCATGTTGTAAAGTTTCACTAATTGAAGCAGCGTCCGAACGTGCACCCTCTCGGGTTTATCTGAGCAAACAGACACTACTGTAAGAATGTGTTGTCACTGCCGTGTGCCAACCAGGGAAGTTAGTTGCCGTATTCCTCGGTGGTGAGGTGGGTAGTTGAGGACTGTGTTCTCTGTGGTTCTAGCAATAGATGGCAAGCCTGTTACTTCCTCTTCAGGTCCGCAGAAAGGGCCCCCAGAATAGTCTTGAGTTTTCTATCACAGGGGCACCAACCAGAGGCCATGTTGGTTTTAAAATGACGAATTAATCCCTGGCACGCTTGTCACCTCTCCTTGAAGAGAGGGGGAAGTTATGGTTGACTTTGAATGCATGGTGAGAAGGGGGTCACGGAACCAGCCCAGGAGCCACGGGTCCCACCTAAAATTGTCACCCTGGTTCGCAAGTGCAGACGAGCGTAGCATGAATCTCCGTGAGGCCTCCTCAGAGGCCCTGACCACGCAGTGCCCACCTCTCTTTAGCTTCGGGTGGTTCCCACCCCCAGGGATTCACCCGCCCTGTTCTGGGGTCCCCTTCCTCTGATCTGTGCTTGGGGATGAACTTGCTGCTCCCCTCCATTGCCTGGCCAGTGAGAGTGTGAGCCGCAGGAGGGCTGTGTTTCCTCTGCAGGCCTCTCTCCCCGGGGCTGTCCTTCCAAAGGAATGCCCTCTGTCCTTCCAGGACAGACCCAGTGAGACGTATGTAGCTTGTTGAGTTGTCCTGTAGGTCGAAACTTAAAATTCCACCTAATCCTCTCCTGGTTCACAAGCCCAGACAGGGGCAGCCGACAGTGGCAGGTGTCGCATTCTCTCAGCCGACACGCACTGGCTCTTGCCGGGGTTCTGGTCGCATTTCCTGAGGGATTACTTCCGAAACCTGTCAAACGGCCCAAGCTGCTACAACAGGCACCACCGAGTCCCACGGTCAGGTCACGGGGTCAGGCCCAGAGCCTCCCCGTCACGTGTCTCCCTTGTGCTGATGGCCATGGAAGCCGTCTTCCTCCCAGATACAATTAAGAACTAACTTTCTAAGTTAATAACTAATATTCTGAGTGGTTAATAACCGACTTGACCCCATTGAAAGGGGGGAATTTCTGTGCATTTGAAATTATCGTGTGTTTCTTATCCTGATCCATTTGCCCTAAGAAAGTCTAAAAATAGGGCTAGTTTTGGGGCGTTTTGTTTTTTTTTTTATTCTCTTCAAAGACCACTGAGCTAATCTCTGTTTTTGTTCTCTTATACAATTTCAAAAACATGACACGGTTTCTGCAGGACTCATTAGCAGAAGTTGAAGAGAAGTATAAGAAGGCTATGGTTTCCAATGCTCAGCTGGACAATGAAAAGACAAACTTCCTGTACCAGGTCGATACTCTAAAGGACATGTTGCTGGAGCTTGAAGAGCAGCTGGCTGAGTCCAGGCGGCAGTATGATGAGAAAAACAAAGTAAGCGCCAGTGTGAGAGAAAACGGTGGGTGGGGAGAGTGTGTGTGTGTGTGTGTGTG